AAATCCTATTATGATTTTTCATTAAAATTGATCATTAAATTGTGAGTAGAAGTGTAATTAATTTCCATGGGGAAAGGAAAAGAATATAGGTGGAAGAAAGAAAGGATAATATTAATGTAGTGTTGAAGTTTGAGTTGTCCTAATAAAATATTGATAAGACTTGAGAAAAATAAGACTTATTTGTTATTCTTCCTAATATTTAGGTCTCTTTTAAGAAGTATAAAAAAAGTTAACTTATTGATTTATTTGAGTTATAACAACTCTTTATTTTATTTTTTTTCACATCTTTCATAATAAGCAAAAAAAAATCAATTTTTCTAGTACTCCCCAAAACAAGCCTCATTGGCCCCGTTTGTTTGGGGTTATGGAGAGAGGATTGGGTTTGATAGTGAGGAAAGGATTGAGAATGAGGTGTTTGTTTTGAAAGATAGGGAGGAGACTAGTAATCTCTTGGTATTAGTAAGGAAGAGGAAGGGGATTGGTAAGGAGGAGGTAGAAATGATATTAGAAAAATAGTGAGGGGATTAAATTTTTTTTTATTTTTTATATATTGTGAATTTTTTTTATAAATATAATGTTTATTTTTTTATATTTTTTTATTTGTTTTATTATTTTATATAAAAATAATTTAACAATTCTTCACTAGCAATCCACTCACTATTAATCTCTTCACTATCAATCCCCTCCATTCTATTTCTCAAAACAAACGGGGCCATTGTCTTTATTATAACAATCATTTATTGTATCTTAACAAGTATCCCAAAAATACTTATTAGCATTTGTGATAAATTTACACAATTTTTAATTTTCCTTCACTTTTAAGCATAGACAACTAAATTATTACAATAACATCACAAGGAAAATCATGACAAAAGATTATGATCTGTCCAATTTGTTTCATTTCCCTTCATTCTTTGAAACGCTCTCTCTTATCTCTTACACACACTCTCTCTCTCTTGTCTTCTCTCATTTCCTCTTCTCTCCAGTGGCGACAAAGAGTGCGATCTCCTCTCTCTCTCCAGTGGCGACGGTGCATCTCCTCCTCCGCGGCAGTACGCATTCCCTCCTCCGTCGCCGCCTCCTCCTCCTCCTCCGGCTTCGGTCTCCACCACCACGACAGATCTGGACAGATCTGAGTAGATCCCATCTCCTCCACACCACTGCAGCCCTTACATCTCACATCTCAGATCCGAGAAGATCAGATTCCGCCATTTATGTATATACATATATGTGTTTGTATTGTCACTGTGTGTAATCTGTCTGTCTCCATATTATTATTATTATTATTATTTTTTGTGGTTAATGATGTTGCCGTTGATGAAAATGATGTTGAGGGAGCTACGAGGATTTTTCGGGGTCGGGGAAACCCGACCCCGTTGGGGGCGCTGGTGGGGGGGTGATGGGTTCCCCGTCGGGGATCGGGGACAGGTGTAACAAGCCCGCGGGGGACCTCGCTACAGCTCGGACTCGGCTTCTCGTTAGCCACGGTTCTAAGTCTGAACCAAAGAGTCCAAATCCGGCAAATCGTTTTAGGAAAACTGATTTTTGAAAGAAGTGCCAAACATGGACTGCTTTGCCAGATACAGAGTCGCCACCTAAATATTTTATTTTGGGAAATTTAGGAAACCCTGACTCGGTGACAAAAGGCCACGTGTCCGTCATCACCAAAGTTGCCTCGGCTCGGGAACTTGGGTACGATTGGGGAAGGTCACTTCGTGAGCACCCCCGCTCGCCCGATCAAAGATCGGCCTCTACTAACCATGATATCGAGCAAACATGGACTGCTTTGCCAAATACAGAGTCGTCACCTAAATATTTTATTTTGGGAAATTTAGGAAACCCTGACTCGGTGCCAAAAGGCCACGTGTCGTCAT